TGTGTGTGTGTGTGTGTGTGTGTGTGTGTGTGTGTGTGTGTGTGTGTGTATGTGTTCGAGGTGGAGTTGGAGAAATTGTGATGCTTTCCCTTCCTAAACCAAAGTTTAGATTTTCTAACAAAAGAATCTTTCTCCCTGGGGCTCCTCCCCGCAAAGCACAAAGTGTTAGAACCACGGTTTTCTTTACCTTGTCACGCGTTAATTTTAAAATGGGCCTCCCCCTCATCTGACTTAGCTGCTCTAGAAATGGAAAGAAGGCCATAAAGATGTTAGAGTCTTCTCATGCCCCACATTGCATTTGCTTTGAAAAAGGGGAGAATATTTTTTTACTGTCCCCCCTTTGGTTGTAAATGCTTTCATAATTACTTTGATTGTTTTACTTTAAAAATATATGTTAGAACTAACAAACAAATTCAGTAGAGTTCCAGAAAATAACATTAATATACAAAAATCAGTCGCATTTCTTCCCCCCCCCCCTTTTTTTTTTAGAAAGTTAGGATTTTTAAGAAGACAGGAAAACTCCTGGCATGGGAGGGGCCCTGAAGCCACTGAGCCCAGCTCGTGTTGTTGTGAGAGGTCCATCAGTAGCATTTCTACACACGAACAAAGAGCTATTTGCAAAAAGAAATCAAGAAGACAATACCGTTCACAATAGCTACACAGCCCCCAAAAATACTTAGGAATAAATTTAACCAAGAAAGTGAAAGACCTGTATGCCCAAAACAGTACAATATCAATGAAAGAAATTAAAGATGATACAAAGAAATGGAAAGATAGCTGCGTTCATGGACTGGAAGAATTAATTCATGTTACTCAAAATGATCTACAGATTCAATGCAATTGCTATCAAAATTCCAGTGACATTTTTCCCAGGAATAGAAGAAACAATTTGTATGAAACTGCAAAAGACCCTGAATAGCCAAAGAACAAAAAAGAACATAGCTGGAGGCGTCACATTTTCTGACTTCAAACCATACTTCAAAGCTATAGTCATCAAATCAGCATAAAAACACACATATGTATGTCTGTCACAAAAACAGATATAGGAGGGGAGAACCGAAAGAAGAGCTGGAGGGCAGGCCCTTTGAAGTACAGGCTTCCTCCACCAGATAAGTGTTTTAGGAAACCATTGGCATCAGTGCACCAGCTAGTGTGCACTGGGCTCAGCAGAAGTGCCAGCCAAGGGTAAGAGAAATAGAAAACAGGCCAGGCTTGGTGACTCAGCCTGTAATCCCAGCACTTTGGGAGGCTGAAACAAGTGTTGTGAGAGGCTGTGTTTAGCTTCAATGAAAATTTTTTTGAGATTCTTTCCATTTGTTTGCCCATTTTATGATGGGTGAATTATGAGCACACCTGCACATATCGTGCTGAGTGTTCAGTTTTTGACCAAAACCAGCATGACCTCTGTACCCACCCTCCCTATTCACCTGTTCTCCTCACCGCAAGCAACTTTTTTTGTTGTTGTTGTTTCCCTGGATGATAAACTTCCTGAAAGGGAAATGTGTTGCCATGTGGAAGAAATGAAACAAAAAATGACAGAAGCACTAAAAGGCATCAAAATTGACAAGTTCAAAAACTTCTGAGGCTGGGCTCAGTGGCTCAGCCTGTCAAATAGTTCATTGTTAGTGTATAGAAATGCTACTGATGGGCAACCCTTCAGGGCCTCTCCCACTGCCAGGAGCTTTCCTGTCTTCTTAAAAATTCTAACTTTCTAAAAAAAAAAGGTCTTTTGCACTTTGGGAGGCCAAGGCGAGTGGATTGCCTGAGCCTGCAGTTTTGAGACCAGTCTAGGCAACTTGGCAAGACCTCATCTCTACAATAACTAAAAAATTAACCGGGTGTGGTATTGCCCACCTGTAGTTCTGGCTACTTGGAAGACTGAGGTGGAAGGATTGCCGGAGCCCAGCAGGTCAACGCTGGGGTGGCTGTGAGTGTGCCACTGTACTCCAGCCTGGGCCACGGAGTGACACTCCAACTTAAATAAATAATTAAATAAATAAATAAGCAAATTGTTTTGAGCAGTGGAAAAGGCATCTTAATAGATGTATTGCATCAAATGGAGAGTACTTTGAAGGCGACTGAAATGTAAACATGTAAGAATAAACACACAATGTTATAAATAAATTCTGGTTTTGGGGGGTACTCTCTCATATAGACCATTGTGAGAGAATAGAGAAGCAAGAAATAAATCCACATATTCATAGTCAATTGATTTTCTACAGAGGTGCCAAGGGTTGGCCAGGGTTGCAGTCGCATCTGAAGGCCCAAGTGGAGGATGATGCACTTCCGAGCTTACTCAGTGGTTGTTGGCCTGGCTCAGTTCCTGTGGGCTACGGGAAGAGAGCCGCAGTTCTTTGCTGGCTTTTTATCAGTGGCCTCCCTCAATTCACTGTCACTGGGGGAATATATTCTTCAAAGGAAAACTGGATGGCACAGCACAGTATCTAAGCCAGG